GGAGTTTTCTGCCGCCTGGAAACTTTTTAGAGGTTTTTCAATGCTTCCCCCTCTTTTTCAGCTCTCAAAAACCCTGACTTTCAAGGCAAGTATCTAATGCTTTTATAGGCAAATGGTTAGGGTAAATTTCAGAATTAGTTTTTTTTACCCTTTACCCCTTTTTGAATTCTTGTTTTAGCTTAGGGGTCCCTGGATTTCTGACTTGCCACCCAAGTTAAACCACCCAAAAAACTGAAATTTTCCTAAAACCCCTACTAGAGACTTCTGAAATCAGTTATGAAAAGATTCCCTGACCTAGAATTCCTAAAATACCCCCCAAAATGCCCTGTATTAACCAAATAAACCTAAACGGGTATGGGTCAAAAATCACTATGGGCTGAATTCATTCAAAACAAACCAAACCATGATTGAGATCTAAAAGGACAACCCTAAACCCAAATCGAAACCTAATTCACTGAAGAGGCAAACCAGAATCAAATAAAAAATGCGATTAAACGGACTGAAATTAACAAATAAAGGCTATCTTAACTAAACAGATTATATGACCCTAAAAGTTAAAACTAACATGCATGTCAACAATCTTTAAGAAGCTGGAAGTGAGGCAGAATCAAAGAAAAGAAAGGAAATAGAAAACGGACAGAACAAATGAAAGCAATCAATGCGGAAAAATAACGAAGAAACAGGAAATACCCGACATATTTTGGCCAACAAGAAACAGAGCTCGAGTCTTCAAAAGAAACTTCCAATTTTCCGGTTCAATTCGATATTAATCATGTGCTCTTATCAAGAACACGTGAATAAAGCCGAAATGGACCCAAATTTTCAACGGGATTTCGATTTGGAAGAATTTAGGATTTTAGGGTTCCGTCTCTGATCTAAAATTCGAACAAATCCAGGGGGATTCGAGGAGAATGGGTCAAGGATTTAGGATAAGGGGTTCATTGTAGTCAAGGGGTGTTAATTTGGGGGTGATTGGTGGTGGCGCCGCCACTGGAGGAAGTTTGGGCGGCGCTAGGGTTCGTGACTTTGAACTCAAATTCGAAGAGTTCTGAATTTATTCGAGGGAAGCTGATTGTGGATTAAGGATGGGGAGGTGTAGAGGAATTTAGGGTGTGATTTTGGTGGCCATTGGGGTGGTTTGGGTCGTCGCCGCCGACAGAGATTTCAGGGGCGGCGGCTCTAGGGTTTTGAGGATTGAAGGAGACGAAGGACGAAGGGGGGTGGGGGGATGTCTCCGGACAGTTTTATACTAAAGAATCCCGAGTTCCCGGCCGTTGGATCATGAAACCTCGACAGCCAGGATTGATCAAGGGATAAACGGTGTCGTTTGGACCATTGGGGGTAACAGACCGGGTTAGGTGTGGAATTGGGCTGGGTTTGGGCGACTTGGGTATTTGGGCTCAGTGGAGGATGGGCAAGTTTGGCCCAAAACACCTTTATTCTTCAACCCTTTTCTCTTTTCTTTCTTTTCTCTTCCTTTTTTTTCATTTTTCTAATTTCAAATCAATTTCCAAAAATTCTTTTCTTCTTTTTTTTCAAAATTAAATTAAAATCTGAACTAAGTCCTAAAACCCAATTATCCTAAAAGCAATAATTAAACCTAAATGATAATTATCACAACTAATCAAATTAAAGGTAAAACTACCAAAATCAAACATTAACTCCAAAAATGCAAATTAAACTATTTTTGTGATTTTTCTTTTTATATAAAATAACTTGATTACTAATTAATGCAAAATGCAAAGTTAAATCCTAAATGCAAAAATGCAAATTTTTTTTTTGTATTTTTATGAATTAAAATGCACAGACAAATGCAAACAATTAACAAACAATGCCACAAAAATCCACAAAATTGCAAATAATAAAAAGAAATCATTTTGTTCGAATTTATGGGAGTAATTCATATAGGGCAAAAATCACGTGCTCACATATATGTCATTATCAAGTGAGCCATAAAGGTAGGCGGTAACCACATCCATTAAATGCATGTCAAGCTTTTCGTGGACAGCAAAACTAATGAGATAACGGAACGTTATAGCATCTATAATGGGTGAATATATCTCTTCATAATCTACACCAGGCCTTTGTGAAAATCCTTGTGCAACAAGGCGTGCCTTATATCTTTGTACCTCGTTTTTCTCATTTCTCTTGCGTACAAAGACCCATTTATAGCCAACAGGCTTAACACCATTAGGTGTTTGGACTACAGGCCCAAAAACTTCACGTTTTACAAGTGAATTCAACCCTGACTGGATTGCTTCTTGCCATTTTGGCCAATCAAGTCTTTGTCGACATTCTCCAACAGATTTAGGTTCAAGATCCTCACTTTCTTGCATAATGCTAGATGCAACATTATATGCAAAGATATAATCCACCACTATATCCATTCGATTCAAATTTGTCTCAATATCGATTGGATTTATTGATAGTTCCTTATTTTCTTGAGTCTCGGGCTCAGTGGATTCCTCATGAATCTCAGAATTTATTAAATCGTGGATTTCATCATGAGATTCTTTCGTAGTGTCATTTTGATCATTTGTTTTCCTTTTTCTAGGATTTCGATCTTTGGAACCTAATGGTCTGCCACGTTTTAGGCGTGCTTTTGACTCATTAGCTATGACACTAGTAGACTGTCCAATAAGGACATCAATACAGATTGGAACATTCTCTGCAGGATATTTGTGATTTTGTTTTAATCCTTTTCAAATCCGTAAATGCGCTGGCATTTGATTTGCTATTCTCTGCAAATGATAATCTTTTGCACCTCTTTTTTCACAAATAGAGGCACGTGGATCAAGATGAGATAATGATGGATTTTTCCACTAAATTTCCCGTTTGGTTTCACCAACTTCTCCCCCTAATTTTTGGGAAATGTTCTCATCGAATATTGACAGTCTGCAAATCATGCAGTAAACAAATCCCCCGTCAGTGTTTCGAGATAGCGAATAATGGAGGGCGATTCAAACCCAACATATATTCCTAAACTTCTTTGCGAACCCATTTTGGTGCGATAATGGCGGTGCTACGGGCACATATACTGCGCATCCAAAAAATCTTTAAATGGGATATATTAGGTTCTATGACCAAAACTAATTGCAACGAGGAATATTTAGATAATTTGTCGGTCTGAGACGAACTAGCATTGCTGCATGCAAAATGGCGTGACCCCAAACAGAAGTGGGGCAGCCTCATTTTTCATGAGTAACAGTCTTGCTATACAATTGCAGACGTTTAAATTAATGACTCTGCAAGACCATTTTGAGTGGTGAAACCATGATCTACAGGGGATGTTCCACTTTTATCCCAATGTGATACGCAATAATCATTAAATGTTTTGTGATGAAAACTCAGCAGCATTATCAAGTCTAAAAGACTTAATTGGATTATCGGGGAATTGCGCCCGTAACCGAATAATTTGTGCCATTAATTTTTGCAAACGCGAGTTGCGTTGATTCACAATAGGCACACATGAGCACCATCTAGAAGATGCATCTATTAAGATCATGAAATATCTAAACGAACCCACTAGGTGGGTTGAATTAGGTCCACAAATGTCCCCTTGTATACGTTCTTAAAAATGCATGGGACCAATCCCAACCTTTGATGGTGATGGTCTTATAATTAAACTTGCCTTGTGATAACAAGAAGTGCAAAGAAATTCATTATTTAAAAGAATCTTAGGAATTCTTTAATGGATGCCCATTTGAATTTTCCTTATAATTCGTCTCATCATTAATTGCATCCAGATGTTCCCAATCGATTATGCCAAAGTACAAAAGTATTGGAATCAGTAACCTTTTGGTTTACGGTAGAATGTGCCTCAATTGCACTAATTCTTGTCCAATACAGGCCACAAGATAAAGATGGGAACTTCTCAATAACCCTCTTTTGGCCAGAGACATTCTTGGTAATGATGAGATATTCAAGATTATTCTCATCTATTGTCTCAATATGATATCCATTTCGATGGATATCTTTAAAACTCAACAAGTTCCTCTTGGACTTGGAGGAGAACATTGCATTCTTTATGATAAGTATTGTTCCCTTAGGCAGAGTTATAGTAGCTCTTCCAGAGCCTTCAATTAATTTACTACTACCAGAAATTGTAGTAACATCTGCCTTACACATACTTAAATGAGAGAAATATTTCTTCTCTTTGAATATTGTATGTGTCGCACATGAATCAATTGAACAAATATTTTTACCATTGAACTTTCATCCAAGTTTGCTTTGTGGGATATCCATGTTTGCTTCCAAAACGAGAAGATATTGGAGTCATATTAGCGTGTTAACGAATAATTCAATGGTTAAGTAACGAAAGGATTTCCTAAATTAAATATGTTAAACAAATGGTCAAAGTTATACATGTAACCTTAATTGATATCCTCCTTGAAGAAAAGGCCAATGATGCTTTATCATATTACTAGGCTTACAAAGAATTTGCTTGAACACAAATATTAAAAGTGCAGCATATATTTCCGAACTGCTATCGAACTGCTATTGGTACTAATTTTCTGTTTTAAGCAGAATAATATAAGACTAGCATTTAAGTATACTCCTTTTGGATGAAGAACAGAAACAATTTAATTTGGTACTACTAGTAAATATTGAAAAAATTGGATGGTAGTGACCAAACTGTTATTTTAATGAAAGAGATACATTTAAAACAGTTGTACTATTGGATCACCAGTTCTTGTTATAGTTATCAGTTTGTTTTTAGTATTTATCTTTTTAGATTAGATTGCATTTATCTTCTAGAATAGATGATATTATAGTTAGGCATTTAGAGTTATCCCTTTGATTTAGATAGGATTCGTCAGTTATCAGGTTTACATAGAACTCTACAAAGATGGTTACTGTAACTTGTATTTAAACTCATTGAGGCATTCAATAAAACACACAGTATTTTCCATCATCTATTCAAGTCTTCATATGGTATCAGAACCTATACTACTCTAACGAGCTAGATCCTTTTTTTTTTCACAACACCCAATCCTCTAATGACGAAAGATGGAAACACAACCAGAGTTGTCAATGCCGACAACACTGCTGGTACCATCACCATAGTTCAATTCAACCCCGCTTCCCAACTACCTATCAAACTTAGTGGAAGTCACAATTTTGCTACTTGGAAAGCTCAGTTCTCCATGCTTATGCATGGTCATGACCTCTATGGTCATCTTGATGGTTCCACCCCAGCCCCCATTCCGACCACCACTTTTGGAACCAACACCACCCCTAATCCTACTTACACACTTTGGTTCCGTCAGGATCAACTTATTCAAAACGCCCTTATGGCTTCCGTTGACCCTACCATAGCCTTCACAGTTGTCGCTGCTAACACATCAAAACAGGCCTGGGACTCTTTGCACACTGCCTACGCAAACAAGTCCCAGACCCGAATCTTCAGTCTTCGTGATCAACTTGGCCGAATAACCAAAGACACCACTCCTATCACCGAGTACCTTCAATATATTCGGTCCCTTTCAGATGAACTTGCTACTGCTGGTGCCCCTGTCACTAATTCCGAACTCATAGTCAAAATCCTTAGTGGACTTGGACCTGAGTTTAGTGAGATCTCGGCTGCCATACGGGCACGTGACACTATAGTTACCTATGAAGAACTATATGAAAAAGTTGCTTGACCATGAGCTCTTTCTCGTCATNGTCGCATGAAACATATTGAGGTGGACTTTCATTTTGTGCGCAATAATGTTGAACAGAAGGTGGTTCGAGTTGTTCATGTTCATTCTGCTGACCAACTAGCTAATATGCTCACAAAAGCACTAGCCAAACCAGCCTTTGAACGCAATTTGTTCAAGTTAGGCTTAGTGACACATAGCCTAACTTGAGGGGGCGTATTGGATCACCAGTTCTTGTTATAGTTATCAGTTTGTTTTTAGTATTTATCTCTTTAGATTAGATTGCATTTATCTTCTAGAATAGATGATATTATAGTTAGGCATTTAGAGTTATCCCTTTGATTTAGATAGGATTCGTCAGTTATCAGGTTTACATAGAACTCTACAAAGATGGTTACTGTAACTTGTATTTAAACTCATTGAGGCATTCAATAAAACACACAGTATTTTCCATCATCTATTCAAGTCTTCATATGTACGTGTTGCCATATTTTAGTCAAATACGTATGTGTAAAAGAAATAGACAAGCTACATACGTTTGTTTCTGTTGTTTATGTTTTCATCATCTCATACAGTTAATGTCAAAAGAATCACTTGAATATCCTGGAAAGCCAAGCAACTTTTAACATTATCTCATAAAAACAAATAATATTAATTGATACTAATGACTACTACTCATGTAAAGAACTATAATTACATGATGTTTATCCACTAACTACAACGAATAGCCAAAATAAAAATTAAAAATTGAACTACTCAATCATCTTTAACCACGGATCCATCACCGATTAAGTGGTCTATTTTTCCATCAGGGCGCTCAAAGAAGTCTGCCACATCCAAGTGGGTGATGTCAAAATCATTGTCAGAGACAAAATTGGCAACGATAGCATTCAGTTTTTGAACCATTTGCTTTTGGCTTCTCATCTTTCCCTTTCCACTTTTGGTGGTTATTTCTCTTTGGGGGATGATTAACACTAGGAAAATTTCTTCCTTGTCTACGGCCACGACCACGACCACGACCACGAATAGAGTCACGGTCTTTTTCACGCTTAGCATAATGGGAATACACCTCATCCGCTTCAGGCAATGGTTTAGATCCAGTGGGTCGATTTTCGTGATTTTTCATGAGCAAATCGTTGTTTTGTTCAGCCACAAGGAGAAGAGAAATCAACTCAGAGTACTTCTTGAAACCTTTCTCTCTGTACTGCTGTTGCAGTACCATATTGGAGGCATGAAACGTTGTAAACATTTTTTCAAGCATATCATAGTCAGTGATAGTATTTCCACAGAGTTTTAATTTAGAAGTAATTCTGAACATCGCAGAATTATATTCAGAAACAGACTTAAAGTCTTGGAGCCTCAGATGAGCCCAATCATATCGTGCTTGTGGAAGAGTGACCAACTTTAAGTTGTCATATCTTTCCTTTAAGCCATTCCACAAAACAAGTGGGTCTTTACTGTGAGATATTCTATTTTCAACCCTTCATCAAGGTGATGGCGCAAGAAAATCAAGGCCTTAGCACAGTCTTGGGTGGATGCTTTATTTCTGTCTTTAATGGCGTCTCCAAGACCCATCGCATCTAAATGGATTTCAGCATCCAACACCCATGTCATATAGTTCTTGCCCGAAATTTCAAGGGCAACGAACTTTCTTTTCATAATGTCAGTCATAATTAAAAAGAGGAGAAAAGTTATACCTTAATCTTCCCAAAAGCTTCTTGAGACGGTAGAGTCTCGTGCTGATAACGTATTATGAAATAATAAAAGAACAAGAACAATATTGCAGAGAAAGAGAGAGAGGAAATTTGATAATAGGTGAATTTAACTATAATCACGCCTTAAATAATCACCTTCTTGTATAGTTTTGATGATAAAAGTGATAACAAAATGCTCTTATTAGTGCTTTTCTTGATTTGCAGGTGATATATGATCAGGGAAGGCTAGGGAGTATTTTTGGAGTCAAAAAATGAAGAAAAAGAGGCCAACTGTGAAATTCCCCAAGGAAACCACGCAAAACAGGCCTGAAGATTCAGAGGACTGGGTTGACCGCGGTTCCACCGCGACCGCGGTGGAAAATAGCTGCGGATAACTTCAGATTCAGAGAAGACATTTGGCCGCGGTTTAACCGCGACCGCGGCAGAACCGCGGCGGAAGCAGAAAACTTCAGGGACGAAAGTGTAAAACACGGGATTTTTAGACCTAAACCCTATTTTAAATACAAGACTTCGCCCAAAAGAGGCATGTATTGAATTTTAGAGTATCTTGGCAAGGAAAACAATTGTGAGAGATCACCCAAAACATCTTTCTTCTTTTCTTTGATTTTTATTGCTAGTTATGATGAATTCTATCTTAGTTTGTTTTCCCATAGCCATGAGTAGCTAAATCCTTTGTCTAAGGCTTTGATGGAACCTATTGGGGGATGAACATCTTGTTTATGTGAATACAAATTGCTAGTTTCAATCTCTATTTGTTCACTTTGTGCTTGTTGTAGTTAATTGACAGGATCCTCAATTAGCTGTGCCTATTTAGTGTGCATAACTTGGAAAAGAGTGCATATTTAGGTTATTGTTGAACAACACCACTCCCAAAGTATAAGAGGAATCTATAATTGCGGGTTTAAAGGCGGGATTAGGGATAACGAAGCCTTGGGTGTAATCTAAAGTGAATTGTGCTAAATAAAGTAAGCTAGTGTATCTCGGGAGAGTGCAACTAGTATATTACTGTAATTACTCGGGAGAGATTTACGGTAAGATGAGCGTTCATGATTAATAGAGATGTATTGGTAAATTTGTATGAGCATAAACAGAAGGGATTCTTTCAATAGGGGAAATCATTGCCTTAGCTTCTTCTCATCATTGTTTACAACCTTAGCATTTTAATTTACAGCTGTTTGATTTACTTGCAATCGTAGTTAGTAAAGCGACCTTCAACTGTGATTCAAACATCTGGAAAAACTGGTTCTGAAGAGTTTAGTGGGTATAAAGATAGTGATTGATAGGTTAACACTCTGTGGATTCGACCCTGGGCGTAATACTCGGGTTATATTTGCAACGTCCGCGGAGTCCTTTTTATAAGGCATAGTTGGGCGTGACCAAATTTTGGCGCCGTTGCCGGGGAGTTAACGGAATTATCAATTACCATTGATAGAAATACAAAAATTCTTAGTGTGGTCAGTTTTCTCTCTACCCAATCTTTCATAGAAATTTTGACGGTTGTTGATCTGGGTGCACAGGTGTATGCCTAGAAATTCTACGAGGACTGGAGAACTACTTGAAGGACTCTCAGACCCCGAGAAAACATTCCGGGCATTGAATCGTGCTAACAAACGACTTCAACAATCCCAACAAACACACAAATTCGAAATTGACATGGGAGACGTAAACGATCCCAACGGAAACGTCAGGAATGAGCAATTGGCACCTCCTGTGCCTGAGGGTGCACTATATGACTGGGCACAACCCACAGCTGACAATCTGGCCACTGCCATTGTTGTGCCCGCAATACAAGCTGAATCGTTCCAGATCACAAATAACATGCTACACTTGTTGCAGAACAAGGGACTCTTTTCTGGGACACAAACAGAAGATCCTCAGCAGCACTTGAAGAACTTCCTGTCTATATGCAAAACTCAAAGGCAACCCAACGTCACTCCGGAAGCAATCAGACTATTATTGTTTCCATTCTCGGTGACAGGAGCTGCTCAGGTTTGGCTAAACTCGCTCCCCATAAACTCTATAGAAACTTGGGATGAGTTAGTCAAGCAATTTCACAATAAGTTCCACCCACCCAACAAAAGTGCTCAACAAATTGATGAGATCGTAAGTTTCAAACAGAAACCAATGGAGACACTACATGAGACATGGGGCAGGTTTAAAGGAATGTTGGTTATGTGTCCTCACCACGGTGTTCCAGAACAGATGTTGGGACAACGGTTTTACATGGGACTGTCTGACAGCATGAAGAATATTGTAAATGCCTCTGCTGGTGGGGAATTCTTGAGCAAGACTTGGAGAGAAGGTCAGAATTTGCTTGATCAATGGCGCAGAATTCGGGATGGACAACTAGGAATGCACCTATCACTCCAGTGGTGCACTCAGTGCCTCTTGATCCTTCTAATACAATGGCTGAAAATATGGCGACTCTCTTGACACAAATGAGCATCCTCACCAAAAAGGTGGAGGAATCAGGGCAGAAGCAGCAGGTACATATAGTAGATACTACCAATGGGGGCTTGTGCACATCTTGCATTAGCCAACCAATTGGTAATCCTTGGAATACAGAGCATGATCATCATCATCAGCACCCTGAAGATATGAACTGTGTGGCTAACTATGGGGGTCAGAGACAAGGAAATCAGAATTGGGGTCAGCAGACTCAGCAGCAGTACAGGCCACCTCAGCCACAGTATAACGCCGGAAACATGGGAGGCATGAGACCCCCCAACAACATGGCACCGTATCCCAGACCACAGGGGTACAACAATCAGCAGCAAGGGTACCACCCACCTCAGCAGCAGCAGGGTGGAAGACAGGAAGATGGGTTTGCAAGACTTGAAGCAATGATGCAGCACGTTATTGGGTCCAATGCTAAGATAAATGAAAGGGTGGATGCACATGATGCAGCTATCAAAAATATTGAGGTACAAGTAGGCCAGATTTCAATGTCACTGAACAATCGTCCTCAAGGGACATTACCTGCAGATACCCAAATCAATCCAAAAGATCAGGGCCCAAAGCAGCTGATGGCGGTGAGTCTCCGGAATGGAAGGGATCTAGATGTTAAGCAAGAGAGAGCTCGAGAAAACATATAGGCTGAGACACTCATTCCAGTGCCCATTGAGCTGGATGAGTCTACGGGATTGACAGAGGTAACAGTCCAGCCCGCACCTGAAGAAAAGAATATGCAGTAAGAGACTGAGACAGTAGCTGAGCCAGTAGTTGAAACAGTAGCTGAGAAAGAGAAATCCCATGTGATTGGGAAGAAAA